CACCACCCCATGCCATCTTCCTACAGATACACATACAGGACGAACTTGGAATGCATTTACTTTTCATGTCTTTGATTTTAAAACTGTAACAATCTGTATAAACCATTATTTCTTGATTTATTAACTTATAAAAATAAGACGCTATTTATGGACAATTGAAGTTTTAAAATTGACCACCGAAATTTTGTCCTGATTTATAATTATCATTTGCATTATGAACTTTGTTTTAAGAGTTGTGACACCTATGTTTCTTCCCACATTTCCATGTACTTTGCACAGAAAATGCATTTCTAATGGAGTCCATATTCACCACCGGTTATGTAGATTTGACTTCAGCTACTTTGATTTTATTTGTATAGTCTGTACATTCATATCTAAGTTAGCTGGATTCCTTCCAGGTACTTTTAGAGAGAGAGGGTTGGGGAGAGAGAAGAACAGGGAGAGAGAGGGGGAGAGGGAGAGAAAGAGGGAGAAGAGGACAAGGACCTGGTGAGGATCAGGAGATGAGAAGGGAGCAAACAGGATTCACATGCATTTCTCACGCTCTCCCATGGTTGGGGATGTCTGAAGAAGTGTGAAGTACTATATATATATATACACACACACACACACACACACACACACACACATTTAGTATATTCAGGTCTCTAGTCACATTTTCTTTGCCCATCTCTAAATCTTAATGTTGCTTCAGAGAAATCTGAGGCCAGGCCAATTTATTCCATTTGTACAGAGCTTTGTTTTCTGTTTAACTTACTGGGATTATTTCTATAGTCTCAATATTATGGATATTCTTTCACAGAATTATCAATCATAATTTACCTTTCCTCAGAATGCAGTGTACTCCTTTAACTGTATGTTCATTTAAATTTTAAATTTAAAGGAAATTCAAGAACATATTTTGATTATTTTATGCTTTTATTTTATGATTTATGACATGAAACATTTTATGTTGATTTATATTTTGATATCTTCATGCTGCATCCATTCCTTCCTTTTTTTATTTTTTCTTGGATCTTTCCATTGAGATGGATCGAAAAACACAGCAAAACCAGAAAAATTGGGGCATTGGGAATATGGTGAAGAAATAAAGATGAGCAGAGAGCACAGAGGACAAAGCGGGGGCCGAGAGGCAAACGGGCGAGGGCCCAGGCAGAGGCGGGCAGGTGAGAAGCCACGCAGAGGTCTCTCGATCTCTTCACTTCTGTGTTCTGCTAAATCCCTTTCATCTCCTTTAACTTTCTCATTCTCTGGATTTTATTTTTTAAGCTCCTTTGTGTCTCAGATCTCTTCTGTCTCTTTCTCCAGTTTGGGAGCTGAGCATGCTTCCTTCTTCCCTTATCCAGGATGTACTGGGCTATTATCAACTCTACACCCCATGTTCACTTCCATTTCTTTCAAAGGAAAAGTCCACTAGGAGAGAAATCTCTTATTCACCAGGACAAAGTGCCTTGCAGAGCTGAGTATCCGGCCCTTCCTTCTTCCTGTCTTCCTCTCTTCCTTCTCCTCTTCCTTCCCTCCTTCTCTTTCTCATTATTTCTATCCCATTCTGTTTAGTCTTATTCACCTGCCCTATTTGTCTTTGCAGGTACAGACTTATTCTTGATCCCAGCCTCCACCAGCTCATGGCATCAGTGATGTTTCTATGGCCCTGTTGAATTTGAATGAGGTAGAGCTCTGCGGTCGTTTGCAGGGAGCTGGTTAGCTCTTTCCTTATGTAGGTGCTCCAGGCTAGCCCACAACCCCTGTTAACCCCTATTGCTATTCTGATAACTGCTCATTCCTTTTCTTTGTAGATCTTGGGGTTATTCCACTTCAAATACTACTGGATCTGGGAAACCACACTTTCTGATATTTTGATGTACTACCTACACCTCTGAACATAGACTTTCTGCCTCTTTCTCCGCATGACACCCAATTTGTCTTCCTCCTATTTTCTAGTGACCATTCATCAGAACCAAGATTGTCACCATGAAAGAAATCTATGCTAAAAAGTGTACTGATAATGGAGGTAGAAGCAGCAAGGAAGAAAAGTCACTTAATTCAATGGTGTAAAGTACAGGGAGAGGTGGAAGGTGGAGAACTGAAGTGGCTGGAGTACTCGCTCTCTGCAGCAGCAATCGCTGACCGTGAGGTTGTAAGTCACCTGGCTTCTTTGCATGGTCCTAGAGAGTGTGTGCTAAGAGAAGACAAGACCAAATTTGGGAATGGACTGTCAGAAAATCGGGCTAGCAACTGTGAATGACCTCTTACTTCTGGCAGTTTTAAGGAAAATGTGTCTGAGGACCCAGCCTGGAGTTTCATAAGAGTCACCAAGAAACTGCTTGTTGCACGTACTCCATATCACCTTAATCTTGCTTCAAAAGCTACTAGATCAGGATGATACTCAGGACAGAAATGTCCTAAGAATTTCAGCTCTTGTTTCCCTAGAACTTCTGCTGGCTGAGGCTTCCCATCCTTCCCTCCTGAAGAATCTATCTGTCTTCTGCATAAAATGCTTCCACTGACTAGAAGACTTGGGCACAAGAGACAGTGGCCTTGCACGTGACTATCAACTCTTCAGAATTTGCCAACAGTGCCATCATGGGATCTGTTTGTCAAAATAGCCAAGGCCTGACTGGAAGTAGAGCGACCCTGACTGGCACAGGAGTTATGTGATTTCATCAAGCTCTTCTGGCCAGAACTCCACACAGGACAGTGAAATATGTGGAAAGGGACCACAAACCTCAATTAACACACATTATTGGCATATGTACATTCACATATAATTTGGAACTTTTTCTTTGTTTAGGTACTGGGGAGTCAAATCCAGGGCCTTGAGTATACTCAGAAGTTGTTCTCCCACTGAGCTGTGCTCACAGCCCTAAGAATTTTGGTTTTGCTTCATTGACTTGAGCATTTATACATGGCAGTCAATCTGAAAGGTCAGCTATGTGAAATTTACACAAAATTAGGTTGACATTGTTAATTCCCTGAAGAGAGCCCAGAAATCAGTAGAGGGAAGTGTAGATAGCCAGCCCTTACATGTATCCTGCTGCTTCCAGAGTTACCAGCCATCTACTGAGGGGTCTCTTGGGACAAGAGATTTGAAGTGTTAATAACGGGACAATCCCAGACAAACTGTGATGCCTGATCACTCTGTTTTCCACCCTCTTACTGCAGTCTTGAAAGATCTGTCTCTGGGCTCCTATAGACCTATATACCTTGTGATTACACAGGGTCAATTACCTATGTGGAACTGAGAATTATTTGGTCCATTGAAGCATAAAATTAGACATTCACAGCAGCATTTCATTCTTAAGGAGGAGACACATTTTGAGAACATGGCTAAATAGATGCGGAAGCCCAAAATAAAAATGTATCTCTCAACTCTCATCAGTAAAGTTCCCTCATGCAACAGAGGACAATGGACACAAAAGGTCACAAATAGCCAAAGTGTGGAGAATAAGAGCCTGCAGAGTGTGGGTCCTTAGACAGGACTCTACCCACCTAGGGCTCAGAGGCCATTTCAGAACAGGGGGCAGGAAGATAGTAAGAGCCAGGGGAGGTGGTACATAACCATATGGAAACAGTCTTACAGGCTCCTAGGACCTCGTTCATATGAATCTACAGCAATGGTTTCAGCATACATAAGAACCATGAAAACTCAATGAGCAGCAGACCCAATCTTAGCTGAAGAACTAGCGGCAGCTGATTACTCCTGGGTAAAGGAGTGCTACTTGACTGACTGACTAGCCCCCAGTGGATGAACATGCACTGAGGGATGTCTGGGTACACTAACTTGACTTGCTAGGCCTTAACATAAATGACAGAATGCATGAAACCTGGCACGGGTTTGCTAGGGGAATAGAGGGGGGGTGTAGAAAGATGATTAAGAGGCCCAGCGTGGTGGCATATGCCTTTAATCCCAGCACTTGGGAGGCAGAGGCAAGCAGTTATTTGTGAGTTCGAGGCCAGCTCTGTGTATCTTTCCCCTTTCTGTATTGTTTCTCCTTCACTTCATAAACACAAACTCAGGGTAAGTACAGTCAGATGAGGAAACCATTTAGACTTGGATTGTGGACACGCAGCCATGCTGGCACTAAAACTGTAGTGGATGGTAGTTTCTTTCAACTCTACCCAGAGGTCGCCTTCAAAAGCAGTAACAAACATTCTGCAGTGTCTTTACAGATATGATGGAGAATTCAGTAGTCAAGTATTTGACTCTTCTGTACTAATTCCAAATGAATACTATTTGTTTTCTCTCCCCACCAACTTTTGGGTGGAACTTATAAGTTCACATGACCATGATGAAAATGTTTCCCTCTTGCTTCTGGCTCTGCTTCTGGTGAGTTGAACCAACAGGCAGAAAAGGGAATCCCTGCTCTTGATAGGGTGGTTAGACTTTATTATAAAGTAGGATGAGGGTTGATCTTCCACAACAGTGACACACAGGACTGTGTTTATAACCCAAGAGTTGCTGCTAGCACCTTTTAGTACTTCTTAGTCAATGAAAAATTGCAATAACCTGAGTCTCATCCCTCAAGAATGATGGATTGGGTCATCACACACAAAAATATCTACCCAGCTAAGGTCATGGCATGGGACAAGCAAAACACGATATCTAGTGGGTAAAATGGGGCTAATCAATATCTAAGTTCTCCCACACACTCAACTCTAGCAGGGGGACTTGCAGTAGCCTCTTTTCTGCCAGATATCACTAATATATTACAGATAATTCTACGTGGATCTTTGACTTCCACAGATGAAGTGTGACTGGCTGATGGCGTGCTATATTTGGGAATTCCTTTGTTCTCCTCTCAGTCATGGGTTTAAAGGCTAAACACTGACCAGTGCCTCATCCCAGCTTTCTGATTGCCTCTGGATGGAGAATTGTAGCTGGGGTCATGAGTGGCTGCACAGATCGCTCTTCCAATCTAATTCATTTCAGCTACTTGATAATTTATTTAGTATGTTGGCTCAAGTGAGGTGTTTGCCAACTTAAGAATATTATCCCCCAAATTCAGGGCATCTATCTAGATTTCTTATGACAAAGAGAGTTTAGTTGATACTTTTATAATGTTGTTTTTAAGACTTTCCTAGTAGTCAAATCTATTTTCAGACTAGCTAGGAGAACCAGAGAAACGGGTGAAGTTTTGCAAAATAAAACTTTTTCTTGATGTGCTATGATTTTTATGGGGGAGGGTTTCCCTTAATGGAATTTTCCCTTCCTCCCTCCACCTTCCATCCTTTCTGCCCTTCCTTTCTTTCCTCCCTCCCTCCCTTCCTCCCTCCTCCCTTCCTCCCTTCCTTCCATCTGTTGGTTCAGGTGATTGAACACACATCCTGTCTTCCTGTATGCTAAGCACATGCTTTACCAATGCGCTACACGGACAGGCAATAGAGTTCAATAATTCTTGTTTAAAAATTGCTTTGAGTAATCAGGCCAAATTGGATTTTCTTTCTTAGAATCTTTTAGACATATACATCTAATACATTCTGTACCACTAGGAAACAAACAACAACAACAACAACAACAACAACAACAACAA